AACCGGGGCTGGGGGTGCGGGGCTGGGGATCCGGGGCCGGGCTTGCCGGGCCGTCCCGCTGACCTCCGTCGTTGTGCAGGCTGGAAGGAGGCGGTGTCGGCCGCCGCGGGCGCCCTGCAGGCGGGGGGGCTGGTGGCGCTGCCCACCGACACGGTGTACGGCGTGGCCTGCCTGGCCCAGGACTCCGGCGCCGTGCGGAGCATCTACAGCCTAAAGGGGCGGAACGGGGAGAAGCCGCTGGCCATCTGCCTGGGGGACGTGGACCGGCTCTACAGGTGGGCGAGGCCGGCGGGGTGTCGAGCCCCGGGGCCCCGCGGCCCCGGCGGTGGAGCCCTGGGAGGGGGGGCGGGACGCGGGGCCGGTGGGGTGAAGCCGTGAGTCACGGCTGAGGCTCTGCCCCCGCCCGCAGGTACTGCCAGGTGAACGTGCCCGACCAGCTGCTGCGGGACCTGCTGCCCGGACCCGTCACCCTGGTCTTGAAGCGCTCGGAGGAACTCAACAAGGACTTGAATCCTTTCACATCGGTAGGGCTTCACCATAGAATGAATGGCTGGTTTTGAGGGTCATTATGCTGGTTTTATGCTTCTGCTGTACTAGCTTTTACTCTTAGGTGTGACAGGTTTTTCCCAAAACCAGTCCCAGTGCTCTCCTGCCCCCCATGACTTGTTTGAACACGGGGTGACCCAGCACTAGGGACTGACTTACAAGAGCTTGTCAGTCGTTGTCACCCATTCAGCGGGTGTTGATGTGTTGATTCTCTAGAGGATCAGCTTAAGCCAAGTGGGCTTTAGGCAAGGAACAATTAAAACCTGTTACTGTGTGTAAAACCTCGCTCTCTCCTTCTCTCTGCAGCTGGTGGGTGTTCGTATTCCAAACCACCCCTTTGTCAGGGAGCTGGCACGAGCTTGCTCTGGCCCTTTGGCTCTAACGAGCGCTAACATCAGCTGCCAGGCGAGCACGCTGAGCGTGTCGGTAAGTCTGCTTTTGCCCCTGGGGTGTTATTGTGGTAGTTTGTGAAAGCCCCAGCCTCTCACAATTGGAAGCCAGCTTTAGTAATAGAATAAGGATTTCTATGCTGCTATTGTTCTCTTTTTTTTTTTTTTAATGTTAGTTAAAACACCTTGCAGGTACGTGGTGTGGGGTAGCTGTCTTGCTGTGATCCTCGCCTTAAAAGGTGAGGAGAGCAGAGCTGAAAGGTAATATTTAAAGGCTTAGATGCAGCTTTGTAGCTGTCTTGCTGTGATCCTCGCCTTAAAGGGTGAGGAGAGCAGAGTTGAAAGGTAATATTTAAAGGCTTAAATGCAGCTTTTGATTCATAGAATTGCCCAGGCTGGAAGGGACCTCCAAAGGCCATCTAGTCCGACCCCCCCGCAGTCAGCAGGGACACCCCCAACTAGACCAGGTTGCCCAGGGCCTCGTTGAGCCTCTCCTTGAATATCTCCAGGGAAGGGGCCTCACCCACCTCCCTGGGCAACCTGTTCTAGTGCTCCACCACCCTCCCAGTGAAGAACCCTCTCCTCATCTCCAGTCTAAATCTGTTCCCCTCCAGCTTGAAGCCATTGCCCCTCGTCCTGTCACTGCAGGCCTTTCTAAACAGGTTCTCCCCAGCCTTCCTGTAGCCCCCTCCAGCTACTGGAAGGCTGCTATTAGGTCTCCCTGGAGCCTCCTCTTCTTCTGAAGGGGGTGCCAAATTTGAAAGAGAGAAACTGCTGTGGGAAGGGTGGCTGTGGAATGAGGCTGCTGCTCTCTCCGCAGCTCTTGGTGACTAACTCTCTTTTGGCAAAGCGTGTGACCCTGGTGGTGGTGCTGCTGGTGTAGCCCCAGACAGACACCCTGTCCTCACCCCTAAAGGCTTCTAGCTCTTTTTGTGTGCTCCTTAATACACAGGGGTGCAGCTAAGAAGCCTTTGGCCAGAGAATCCCTGTGGCTTTCCTGCACGTCTGAGACAAATCTGTTCTCAGAAATCAATCTGGGATGTGTTTGTGAGAAAAGAAGTGAGGTGACCTGAGGGAGCACTTCCCCCAGCAGTGTCTGTTAAACATGGTCACAAAACATCTTCCAGGCTCTCAGCCACATCTCTCTCTTTCAGGAATTCCAAGACCTGTGGCCTCAGTTGTCCTTAATCGTGGATGGAGGCCCCATAGGGGATGTCCAGAGCCCAGAGTGTCGTTTGGGGTCAACTGTGGTTGACTTGTCTGTGTCGGGGAAATTCACCATCATTCGTCCCGGCTGGTGAGTGCTCTTTGCTGGATATAAATACAGCTTTTTCTTTACTTCAAATGAAATGAAGCTTCCAAGTTAGGGTGGGTTGTGTTTTGCTTTAGAAACCCTGAAAAAGGGCCTCAAATTCCGAACCCAGGAAACCCCTTTCTGGAAGCTTCTGTGTGAAACACTAGTTTCTGGAGTTTGTCCTCTCCTTGATTCGAGATGCAGTGCTGCGTCTCGCTGATGGCTCTTTCCCAAAAAATGCAGTTTAATGCTTAAACCCCTTTTTTTTCTGGCTGTTCTGTCGCACCCCACAGCGCGCTGACGGCCACGGTGGAAATCCTGAGGCAGAAATACGGGCTGACCCCGGGAGCGTCGTGAGGCTGGGGCTCCGAGGAGGCTCTGCAGAGCTGGGGAAGCTGGGCACCGTGTGCCGGGGCGTTCGTGGCCTTGTTTAATGAGGTCGGTGGGTTTTGCTGAGGTTAATAACCAAAAGCTTAAAAAAAACCCAACAAAGCAGCAGTTGCTGGGTATCTGTTAATTGGCATCACATCTGCTGTCATCTGAGGAACCAACCCAAACCGAACACTGAGCTCTTTGTGCTGCTGCACCATTCCCAAATACCTCTCTGTTTTATTAACGTGATAAAGCCTTTGAAATACCATTATTTGAACCTTAGACTGTTCTCAGGATGGGATGATGAAGACAGTGTCTGATCCACCCTCCCCTTCACACTCATTCCATACCTTTGTTTATTGAGTCTGCACTGAAAGAAGAGCAAAGATGGAGAAGAGGATTTTTGAGCTTTCAGGGTGCTGCAGGGAAGGTGTTCCCTGGCTCGTTCTCTCTGTTCTGTGTCTTCAAAACCTGCTACTGAGATGAAACTGTAAGTGCTTTTGAAAATGAACAGTTGGGTAAATGATCCCTATCTAGACAAGAGCTGCTCAGAAAGACCTGACTCTCTCCTAATACAAAGAATGAAAACAAGCTCTTACTGTGCTGAACTCCACTTTTTTTGAACATTCACTTCCTGCTCTTGATTTGTTCTGACAACAGTGCAAACCTGATGTAAACAGGGAATAGATGAAAGTTTCCTCTGGTATTTATTCTTCATAGAAAAGTAAGGTTTATGGAGCTGCTATTAATCTAAAAACTGTTAAGCAACTTGCATGGTTTTATTATAAATACTCATTTTTGGACGTTGTTGTCCATCGCTGTTGACGGACTTGGGTGCTCGGTAAGAATGTCTATGGAGTTGTCATAAATAGAATTTTACTCCTCATCCAGAGCTGTTGCTTCTCATTTTATTGATACAGGCAAGTATAAGTTAATTTTATGGCTAAAACCATAAAAAAAGGAAAGCTACCGGGAGCTGAACCTCTGTCAAAGCACTGGGGGGTCTGTGGCTGCTCCCGGAGTGCTGCTGGGCTCAGGCTGTCAGTGGGTGGCCCAGAGCTTGCCCAGTGTGGCCACGGGACCCACAGGGGCTGAGTGTGGGGGAGAAACTGGAGCTGATGGTGGTGGGTGGGTGGTGGTGGCTGAAATGTGGGGGTCCTGGTGCTGGTACTGGACCTCAGAGCACGGACATCGCCCCAGTCCTGGCCCTGGCGTGGGATTGTCTGCTCATTGGGACCAGGGCCCATCTCTGGGGGTCTCTCTGACTGGGGGCTGATCCCCCATGGCACCAGTGATGCTCCTGCAAGACCATCCTGAAGCTCAGACTGGCCACGACTGGGAGGGCAGAGGTGGCTGGTGGTGGGGAAGGGCAGGGGCCACCGTCTGTGCTCAGTTCCCAAGGGCAGCCCTTGACACGAGGGGTTGACAAAGGACTGAACTTATTTGGGGGAAGGTAAACACACACCGACAGACACCGAAGTGGGACTGTCTGAGCTGTTAAAGGAAATAACATTTTAATTGGGTGAATCTGTTACGCACAAGCGTTACAGGTGATAAAGCTCCTGCTAAATGGAGTCCTGGTAATGAGATGAACCTGTGGAGGGAACAAATTGCTGGCAAATCAGAAACAGCTTTCCAGGTGCTCCAAAAGCTTTGGGGCTTCTGTTATTTCTCTTGGCTGAAGCTTGTGCTGCCCCACGGTGCTGGAGCCTCATGGCAGCTCTTCCTCATGGTGTCCCCTGTGTGGGGCTGGGTCTGCAGGGGGTGCAGGTAAGTGTCAGCAAGCAGCAGAGACAGAGTTTGCCTTCCAGTGCTCTGGTTTTGTGTGGGTTGATGTGTGCAAGAAGCAGCTGTGGGAGGTGCTGGGTTTGCAGCTGTGGTTTGGGTGGGAAATGGGTGTTGAGAGAGAGTCCTGGTTCTGGCTGGGAGTGTGGTGAGGGCAGTGTCTGGCCAGCCCGGCTGCCCTCCTGTGTGCTGCTGATGGCCTTGGGTATGGTTTGGCTCCTGAAATCCCTGTAACTAGAGCCAAAGAGATCTGGCAAACTTCTTGTTGCTTGTACACTGTTTTTTCCGTTTTTACTGGGCTCCTGAGCCCACCCCACTCCATCGCCCCGTCTTGCAGAGGGCCCAGAAACACAAGTTCTCAGAAGTTACTGCACTGGGGCACTTCTCCTTGCTGCATGGTCCCAAAGAACTGTCCTGCTGGCTTCCCCATGCCCCCGAGAGCTGAGCCAGACCTCCAGCCACCTTCTTCCAGGGTGGCCAAGCCACTGGATCCATGTCTCCTACCACTAGATAGTGCTAGGCCACTGTGGGGAGCCTCCGGGCTGGTGGCCATGCAGCTGATGGTGTCTACACTCCCTTAAAAGCATTAATAAGTGAGCACGGTGCCAGGGCCGTGCTGCCGTGGGCTGGGCTGGTGCAGGTGGTGGCCAACATGTACCATCAGTTACTGGGGTGCAGCTCCTGACCTCCCTGCTGGCACCTCCACTGGTGCCTCTGCCTCATTCCAAGCTGCTGGCGTTCTGTGTCCCTGCAAGTGACAGCTTTATTTGTGCCACTTTGGGTGTGGGTGAAATGGCTGGAGCCCTTCTTCCCGTGCAGGAAAACTGCAGGCACCACAAATTACTTCTTTCTTCTGGCTCTGGGTGTCTGCAGCCCCTGTGGCTGCCGGGGTGATGGCACCAGCCAGAGTGACCGTCCCCTGTGCCAGCCTTTGGGCACTGCCAGTGCCTCTGGAACGCAGCGGCACGGAGCAAACCCGAACTTTGCTCCTTATGCAGGTGTTCTTGGTGCTTTCCCAAATGGGGACCCTGCTGCTGCCCTGGGGGATTTTGTGCCAGGAGCCGTGTGGGTGGGGGGACCCAGGGGATGGTGAGTGTTGGGGACACTGGGACACTCTGAACACGCTCCTGTGGCCAGCTGGGACCTGGGCACTGCCAGTGCCTCTGGAACGCAGCGGCACGGAGCAAACCCGAACTTTGCTCCTTATGCAGGTGTTCTTGGTGCTTTCCCAAATGGGGACCCTGCTGCTGCCCTGGGGGATTTTGTGCCAGGAGCCGTGTGGGTGGGGGGACCCAGGGGATGGTGAGTGTTGGGGACACTGGGACACTCTGTGAACACGCTCCCGTGGCCAGCTGGGACCCGCTGGTCAGTCCAATGGGTTCTGCTGGAGTGGGGAGAGATGTGGAGAGAGTGGAGAGATGCCTTTTTGGATCTCGTAGGTGGAACTCTGAACGCTTCCAGAAGCCACTTCACAGATCAGGGTGACTCTTGTGCTCGCAGCCCTTGTTGAAATCACATTGGCACGAGCGCTCGGAGCAGGAAACACACGGTTTGCATTTTAATTAGCACTTGCCCTTCCAAATAAAAATGTGTCTTTAGAACCTCATTAGAGGAGCCAGTTTGAGCTCATACAGCCATGATTCGGACGAGCTGGAGCGGCCCCGGGAGGCTCTGCCCGTGCTGGTGTCGGGGGTGATGCTGCTGAGCATCCAACCAGCTCTGTCCCGTTGGAGCCGTTGGGGACAAGCTCTGCCAGGGGTGTCCATTTGGTGAGTGTTGGGGACACTGGGACACTCTGTGAACACGCTCCCGTGGCCAGCTGGGACCCGCTGGTCAGTCCAATGGGTTCTGCTGGAGTGGGGAGAGATGTGGAGAGAGTGGAGAGATGCCTTTTTGGATCTCGTAGGTGGAACTCTGAACGCTTCCAGAAGCCACTTCACAGATCAGGGTGACTCTTGTGCTCGCAGCCCTTGTTGAAATCACATTGGCACGAGCGCTCGGAGCAGGAAACACACGGTTTGCATTTTAATTAGCACTTGCCCTTCCAAATAAAAATGTGTCTTTAGAACCTCATTAGAGGAGCCAGTTTGAGCTCATACAGCCATGATTCGGACGAGCTGGAGCGGCCCCGGGAGGCTCTGCCCGTGCTGGTGTCGGGGGTGATGCTGCTGAGCATCCAACCAGCTCTGTCCCGTTGGAGCCGTTGGGGACAAGCTCTGCCAGGGGTGTCCATTTGGAAGCCTTGGCCCAGCAATTGGGCAGTCGTTCTGTGACTCTTCCTTGTCACACATTTTATCTGCTGATGTTTATTGCTTGCTTGCTTCCCCCCACCCACAAGGCCCTTCTTGCTGCTGCAGTCGGTGGCTAAAAACCCTGTGGCTTTTCAGACCCTTTTTTTATTTTGTGCAGCTGTTAACAGCAGCTGTGGCTGTGCTGAGAACTCCTCACAGCTCCTGTAGCTGGAGCAGCCTTTATTGTGGACCTTTTGTTGTGGCGTGGAGCACCGTAGGAAGCAGGACATAAATTAGAATAACTCTTGTTGCAGGAGGGTGCCTTGAAGAATGTAATTGCTTTAATATTTTTGTTACACATTTTTTTGCCGTCTCTAAGTATGACATTGGATTTAGTTCCTCATCCTTCCTCGAGCTCTGCAGGTCTGAGTGAGCATGTAGGGCTTCACCCTGGCCCAGTAGAGGCCTGGTGTGTCAGTGCAGGTACAGCTCAGGTCATGGTTTCGAGGGGGGGTCAGGAAATCTGTGCCGGAGCTGTCCCGCGTGGGCTCAGGGCTGAGCTGCACAGGGTCCTGCTTTGGTGCAACGCTCTGTGGGGCTGGAGCATCCTCCTCACCCCAGCCTGGCACAGAAAGCCACCGGGGCATCCCTCTCCCTGCAAAAAGCAGCCTCCTCCAGAGACCCTGGTGTCCCAGGAACCTGCACCCCCCCTTCTCCATCACCACAGACAGATCTGCAGCCCTGCTTCTGAATGCCCCCGCCCGACTTCACAGAGCAAAAGAAAAACAGGCTTGGGCTAATTAAGCTGGAAACATAGCATTACAATTTGTAGCTGATTAAATCTTTCAAACAATATTGATGTTAATCTCCTTCTGATTTATTTTCTTATAATGCCTCGACTAGGAGATAGTCCAGTGCGGGGGGGAAAGGCTTCCAGATGGAGCACGGTCCGCCTTGCCAGATGCTGGAAGCTCGGGGTGAGGATTTTCCCTCCCCGTGGTTGTACCCAGGAGCGAGGATCTTGTCCATCTTGTCCATTTCTGTGTGTAGGGGGGGATGCTGAGCTGCAGCTCTTGGTTTTGCTGCAGGAATGAGTCCGCCTGTGAGAGGAGAGGGTGTGAAACAGCGCGTGGGAAGGGGCATCCATGAGACAAGCCAGTTCCTGGCCAAGGATGTTCTGCTTCTCTTGCACACACCTTGTGCCTCCCAGCCAGGGCTTTGCTGTCTGGAGAGGAGGCTGCTGTAAAACGCTGCTTTGAGCTTATCTCTGGAGATTAGAGAGGCCTGTTGCAAAAAGCCAGTTTCCTTTTACATGCTGCGCATGAATATCCACTTACACTGTCCTCCAGCCCTTCTTCCAGCTCCAGGGCTGGCAGGATGCCTGGCCACTTTCCACAGGATGCTGATTTAAGGAGTTAGTCTGTGGAAGTGTAGACGATAGAGACAGAAGGGACCTTGAGGCCATCTGGAGAGTCCCCTTCCCCAGACAGCACCCCCTCTCCCAAGTCACTCCAGACACATTTGTCAGATTTGCTCTCGGCTCCCTTTACTGGAAGAGATTCCACCCGCTGCTGCTGCTGCTCAGCTCCTTCCTGTTTTCCAGTTCCTTAAAAAAATATTTATTGGGACTGGCGTCTGTGTGTGCCTGTCTCGTTTCTTTTTTTTATCCCTTTTTTCAAAAAGGCTGTAATTTACCCTTTCTGGTGCTGACACCCTGGGGATGTCCCTGAGGAGGGGGCTCTGGGCAGCACCAGCCAAGGTGGGGACAGGACGAGGGACAGGGGACCGGGAGGTGCCACCACTGCCAGAGCCAAGTGCTGGAGCGATGAACAGGGAGGGTAGCTCCAGAGGTTAAGGGGTTTTCACTGCGGAAT